AAAAAAAAAAAAAAAAACAAAAAAAAACAAATATTTGCCACAAGTCCTCCAGGACTATGGTTAGTACAAACAAATGAAAAAACAGCAATACTTAACATACGTAATACTTCATACCTCATATCAAGTGTGTTAAAAAAACTGAAATTCAAGACTTCTAATCAGTATAAATGGCTATTAACAAGAATTAATTCTGAGACATGTAACAGATCTCAAAATTTGTTGGACCTGATGTTACTTCAGTGTAAGTTTGTGTAAATCTCCATAGACAATATTTCTGGCCCCCGAACCTCCATGGATGAAAATGGTGTCCTTATCAACACAACAAACATGTCCCTCCCTCCCCAAAGAGCTCACTCCAAGTTTAAACCATTCCACATGGGACTCCAATCTCACCAAGAACATTTCTCCAACAGGCTCTCGACTTTTACCATCAAACGTATCGCCACCATGAATGAAAATACACCCATGGCCACCAGCAGCGATATGATGCTTCCTCCCGCACGGCAGTTTAGCCATTGGTTGTAACTTTTGAGACCTGACTGACAGGTCTGAGAGGATTGATGGAGCAGATGGCCCACCTGGAATTTCTCTAAACCCTTGGTGCTGATCGACCAGTTTATCACTGCGCCCCCCGATGATGATGAGCCTTGAGCCTAAGATATTACACGTGTGGCCCGAGCGTGAAGCAAGTCCCATTGTGTGTTCTGTGTAATGAAAAGCACCCTTATGCACACTTCCAGTCAACAAGAAAGCGTTCCCAAACTTCCGTTGTAAACGTGTGCTACCCTCACGCCCAATTATCAGAATACTTGCATCCTTTAACACCACAGCTGTATGTGAGCTAAGACCGGCGCCTTCGGGAAAACCTGTCACTGTTGGCTGTGGCATCCATTTTTCTTCCTGAGTGTCAAACACATGAACATCGGCACAGCGTTTTTTGCCAGTCCATCCTCCTATTAGAACAAAGTACCTATTCTCTGACAGAACCGCAGCATGATGGCTCAAAAATGGCGACCCCTCCTTCAAAATCTCCCGCCATGTGCTCGATATGAAATTGAACTGGTAGAGTTTATTGCAGGGGGTGGTGCCCCCCTTTTTATCCACACCGCCGTGAACGTAAAGGTTTCCACCAACGAGACACGCAACATGGTGGCAAAGGGACGGACCACAGGGACTGACCACTTCAAACTGGACATCTGGGATGGCAGGGGCTGCTGCCATGGCAACCTGTAATAAGAAAAAAAAAATACAGTTGTAGTGCAACATGCAGGCATTGCCCAATGAAAAAATTTGATAAAGTAATACATAAATTAGCTGTAAAGTGCATATTCAAAATATGTATTCAATGTATTATAGACAATGGTACTGTATTACAGTATCTATCTATTTTTTTCAAGTAAGAATTAGAGAAACAGTTGTTTTAACAAAACTAATTTCAAAATATACAGTACATAATTCAATGGAAAAATATGTATGAAAACAGCATGACCATTTGAATTAGTATGTAAATACAAAAATAACTTGACAGTACGTGTATATGTTAATTCTAATTAAAGTATTTGACAGTATTAATTAAAATATAATTTAATTATCAGTTATTAAATCATTTATAACACAAATAAATAAAGATCTAAAGTTTGGTCATGCATTTTATCATTTTGCTTGTCTTTTGTATGGGATTAGTTTTCCATAAGCATGTGCTAAAATGAAAATGTTTTAACATGTACACTGTACTATGTACATGTAGAAGGCAAATGTACAAGATGTGAAAATTATGTAGAAATTAGCGGCAGTGGGATATACAGACAGCTGTTAAGTGTCTGGACTAGCCGATCTAATTGTCCACATTTAGTTACCAGTTCAAGAACAAAACTTAACATCTTAAGATCGAATTTTTATATTTATTTTTAGATATGCTTTTCTTATTTGAATTTCATGCGTTATTGCAGGGCGCAAAATTGTAAAAATTACACTATACGCTTTCAAAATGAATATAAATTTTGTGAATCTTATTAAATAATTCAACATCCATCCAAAACGATTATCTCCTCCAAAAAATATACCTTAAAATGTTCCAAATTTGTTGTTGAATTGACAAAATCTGGCTGGAATCTAAGGTAAACAACAGAAGCTGCAGGAAGCAGCCATCTTTAAAGCCCGGATGAACGCAAGCACCTGTACCCACAATGCATCAGGCTTTGTTACCGGCGCTGGCGTGCTCAGAGAGAGAAAATTAACGTATTCTGTCCAAATTTACTTCAGAGGAGCTAGGTAAGTCGGGGTTGTGCTGATATTTCTAAAGTATGAAGGGTAAAGTTATTGCACGCGAAGAATCGAGGGGAAATGGGGCCTCAGTGGAGCACATTGCGCGACGCATCTTGTCGGTCTCAACCAAAATGGAAGAATGAAGCCGATTGCGTTGAATGATTGTGCTTGAGCATATTCGCCGCCTCATCTGTACAATTTGCCGCTAACAGAATCGCCAGAACGAAACTACTTTATTCCATCAAGGTTTCTACCTTCTTAATAATTGAGCAGTTAGCTCGGATGGTTTTCGGGGGTGTATATTTTTGGTTTTGAATGCAAAACCCGCCCATGCTATTCGTGGCTTATTATAATGACGAGGCGTAATGTATGCACCGCAGTTATTGGAAAACTGGGTCAAGTTGTTGTAGGTTTCCATGTTATCGATTTCGTTATTGAATTTTTGCTTTCTTTATCACGGAGATTAAAAACAACTGTGAATTATTGTCAGACACAATTTTGTTATGTGAACTATTTATTTATTTATTTATTATTATTATTTTTTTTGTTATTTCATTTATGTATTTTTTGGATTTATTTACGTGGATATCTTTGAAAAGTGAAAAAAGATTGTCAAATTTCTTATAGGTTCCTTAGCTTGCAGTTTAGTGCACGTTCAAATCACAGCAGATCAAATTTATTTATTTTTTTTTTCATTTACTTTGCCGCTTATCTTGATTCTGGTCACCTTTTTAATTAATTATTATTATTAAAATTTCTCAATACATGACCCAAACAATAATTGAATTAAGATTTTCTTCAGCATTTTACAGTACTAATTAATAATTCTAGCAAAAAAAAAAATGAACTATTCATATTTTTCATATTTTTCATTTACTTATATATCTTTTTACGTTGTTATGGTTAATACTTTTTAAATTGCGTAGTGAAATTTATTGCAAAAGCAAAAACACTTGCTGGCTTATCTCCTTGCAGCACTGTGTACAAAATGTCTGAGGGTACCCCAGTAGAGGCGGGGGTTGAAACCGTGAGCCGAGAAGACCAGGGCACTCCAGTGCAGGATGAACCTGGAATGGAGACCTACATGGGACAAGATGGCGACCAGGCATTCCTCCACCAGGTGGAAGCACAAGGCACTCAAGAGGAGCCAGCTGTTGTGACTCAGCAAATCGAAGAGCAATCTACAGCAGAATCAGGGATGGAGGTATAGTTGAATCTCAATCAGCCATTATTATTTACTATGAATTGAAATTTGTAACACTGACAATACTTTAAACAGAGTGAAAAATAAAATTAATAGATTAAACTATCATTCTTTCATTCATAGCAGGAAAATAAAAGGTTACATCCAAAAATATTATATATTGTTAATTTTGAAAGGAACTTTATCAGTCATTGTCTAGAAAGTAACATGAGAGCAAACTTATGAATGGTGAAATGAATGAAAATGTTAAAGTCATAATAACTCTTCGTTTTGGCCAAAAATTGGATTTTCCCGGAAAAAACGGCAATTTTCCCATACTTACCAATGGTCAACAACCCCATTCCTGCATTCAAAGTTAATCCAGGTTTTTTTTCCTAAACGTACGGTTTCTTGTTAAAATCTCTTAAGAGATTTTAACTGACGGAGCTCTCTCTGACATCGCATAGTCACTGTTGACCTACTTAAAACCGCGGGAAAAGCAGATAACAACAACACTATATAAGATTCATGAGATATATTCGTCTTTTTGTTAAAAATACATTAATATCCACAATGTGTGCCATTCTGGGCTTTTCGTTATCCGACGCACTGTACAAAAACTCGAAACTTACGTCTGCGTCTGTATTAATGCGTTTGGTGCCATATGTTATTTTGGTCTCGAATGAACGCGAGAATCCGCGTGACACCATTACGTCATTAGCAACGAATGCCTTGATGACCGGGAAGAAAGGCACGAAAGCCCTATTGACAAGCACAGATTTTAGTTTTACTACAATAACGGCTGTTTTAGTGGTAAAATACAATAGAATATATTTCCATGCATTGTTTACAATGTATTTCATGCGGAATTTTGAATCTCAAAGGAAGAGTTATTATTGCTTTAAACAGTTGAAAAGAGAATGAATATAAGCATTGAAAGATCACCATACAGTCTCATATAGTTCAGTGTGACGAAAAAGAATTATTTGATTGGAAATGTGATAATTTGCAGCCTGTAGCTAACCCTGCTGCAGAAGGTCAGATGCAGCCCTTGCTAGAAGACTCAGCTGACCAGCATATGGCCCCACAGGACACAGACCAAGACATGCAGCAACCAATGGAACCACAAATTGATATTGAAAGTGACCAGCAGATGGAGCCACCAGTTGACGTGGAAGCTGGGCAACAGATGGAGCCACAAGTTGATGTAGACGCTGGGCAACAGATGGAGCCACCAGTTGATGTAGAGGCTGGGCAACAGATGGAGCCACAGGTTGATGTAGAGGCTGGGCAACAGATGGAGCCACAGGTTGATGTGGAAGGTGGCCAGCAGATGGAGCCACAGGTTGATGTGGTAAATGACCCACAGGGGGAGCCAGCAGCAGAAGAACAACAGATGACAGCTGAGCAGATTATCGAACAACAAATGCTGATACAGCAGATGGCACAAGAACAAGCAGCAAGAGAACAACTGGTAAATAAACAAATAAATGAATAAAAAGTGGATGAATGAATGACTGGATAAATATATTTACTAGCGGAAACAAATAAATAAAAGAAAAAATGATAGTGAATAAATAGGTACTATAGTAAGTAGACAGATAAGATTAGGATATAAGTAATAATAAGAGTGATGATAATTACAGTAATATTGGTAGTAGACATTTAGTGGCTGAGCAACAGTTTGCATAGAGTTGTACCAGCGTACGTACAATTCCTTTTGTGTTTTGTACTGTATAATTATTGAAAGGGATATACAAAAACTGGTGTATATATCTGTATGTGGTTGCAGTGCATTTTGAATTTTCTTAAATCTTGAAAACATATACCTCATTATGTGCTAGTACTTATCAGTAATATTTTTTTTATCAGCATTTGTTAATGAGAATAAAAGAAGGTTAGATTATTGTTCCCTGACATTACTACTGATCTTATTCCAGGAGGCAATCCAGCAGCAAGCCATGGCACAGCAGCATGTGGCTGTGGACCCCCAGCAGGAGGCCATGTTACAGCAACAACAGGTAAACATGGACCTCATCATCATCCCATCTTCATCTATCTCTTCATCCCCATTTCCCTCCCTACCCTACGCCTTCCCTACCTCCCTCAACCTTTCCTTCTTTTCCTTCCCATACCCCCTAATCCCACAAACCTGACCCCTCCTCATCCCACAAACCTGACCCCTTCTCATCCCACAAACCTGACCCCTCTTCATCCCACAAACCTGACCCCTCCTCATCCCACAAACCTGACCCCTTCTCATCCCCTCCTCATCCCAC